TGGGAAATACTTGTTTTGAAACCGTTTCTGTGAGAATATGTTATGCATCCTGTAGTTACACTACAGCAGATCTCCTGCATTGAACTAGTAAAAGATGATTACTGATTGTAATTACTGAAGCAAAGTTTCAGATCAACAGGGCTAACATTTCTGGCATCAAAAGTACAAAGCCCCAAGTCCCTTGAGTAACCGTTAGCTCCATGCTTTTTTAACTATGGTGTGAATTTTTGAGGCTTGTCAAAAGTATCAACAAAACTGCCTTTAATCCTGTCCGAGATGAAGTCCTGCCATTTTTCTCCCTGGCAGATACACCAGTTCATCTCATTATCTGAAGGGATCCTGGCAAAGATCTCTGCAGACAGCATGCTGCATGAATGCAATTAGACAATCAGACAAATCACAATCCAACAGGCCGATCCGCTGTAAGTTCACTTTTAAAATGTCATTTTGTAAACTCCAAAATTTGCCTGTATGTTAACCTTTGAAGGATAAAAATATAGCTTTAACAATATATACATTGAGTATGATCAGAAAAAAGCTGACTTTTTTTATTTATTTTTTTTTTTTTTGAAGTGTTACAATGTGTTTCATTGGAAAAACAAGAAGGATGTGTAAGAGTAAAACTAACTTATTGAATCTCTGGTGAGATGTTGTGGTTAAACCTTCTAGCCAAACCTTGCAATCCAAAAAGAACTGGGCACACATGAGTGACGAAGAGAATATTTTTTACCTAGGCCAATCTTCTATGTATATGTGCACCCTCGCTCTGACCTTCTCTACATACTCTTCATCAAATGTCAACCCATCCTAAAAACCCCTGGAAACCCAAATCCACAAAAAAAGCTCCTCACTAAGATTTTTATGATCGTATGTACATGATATCAACTCTCTTGAAGTATTAGAGATGACTTCTTAACTGTTTTTGAGATTTCTAACTTTCTGAAACACTTCTGAAGTTGAATGTAAAGTGGGCGGGGTTAGTTCTGAGATGATACGTTTCAAACCAATCATAAAATATACACACATTTCCTGCCCAATTAAGTGCACTAAAAACAACTCTGCTTCAGCTCAACCTGCCTTTTGTCTGAGCCAACTCCTCACTGCGTCGCCTTTTGCAATTACGTACTGCCTGCGATCTATCTATCTGTTTTATATCTATCTGATCTATTGATCTCGTCTCTTTCCCTCTCCATCTCAATTGTTTTTTCTCTCTCCCTCCACTCTCTCCTTCATGCTCCTGTGTGCTGTTTATGGCTGCATGTCCACTGATGAAGATGACAGCTTGTCCCGCGGTAAATTTGGAGAAACGGTGGGCAGTGATTTTGGTGAGCCGAGGCAGAGTTGTGCAAAAGCACTCCTGCAATATGCTGCGCTAATTTCCCCCTAAAGACCAGAAAGCTCTGTGCTTCCCTGCACTTCAGCCACCCTGTGTCTGCCCATTGTAAGCCAACAGTCTGGATAAAGTCGCACCGCCCACCTCCACTGGTCACCTGTCATGTTGGATTTAGTTTTCTCCTCAAACAAACCAGAACTCCACCAAGATTATTTCCCAAACAGTATATCAGCATTTTCTTTCTATGGCTGCTTTTGACATAGCCGTTAGCGTGGCTAGGTATCCCAGGATGCTTTGAGCAGCAAATAGGACAGTCCCAATACACAATGAGAGGTGAGTTTTGATTGACATAATGTGAGCTGCCAAGCTCACACAGTCCTCAGAAACATTTTTTAAATGTAAAATAAGGTTTTCTATTAGTTATGAATTGTTGTTTTCTGTAGATGCTTAAGGAAACATTACAGTTTGATATCACATGTGATTTTTTTTATATTTCAAATCAGGTTTCCATGGGTTTTAAAGTATTCATGCTAAAGTCTTTGTTTACAGCATATTCGCAAGAATGTCCATGCACAAGAGTACACTCTCAAAATGCACATTTTCTTCCTCCAGTTATCTCCCTGTACACCTTGAGCAATGAATATTTATTTTTTTTGTTTTCTGCCTTGCAACCCACAAGCATTCCTGCAGGCCTTCGAAAGATCAAGACAGTTCAGTTTAGGGTCAGCAGCGGGGAGTGGAGGTCACTGCTAGCTGTAGCTCCAGGCAGGGGGGTGGGGGGGGATGAGAACAGACAAGGCTGCCTTTAGGAAAGTGCATCAATTGAGCATTCACTGGGGAATGAGTCAGTTCCATAGAAGGGAGTCAGAGAGCCATGAGTCAGAAGCCGTACATCTGTAGGTAGTCATTTTGGATCTCTGTTGAAGCTAAATGTTGGGAGACCACCAGAGATGAGCATGAACTGTGTTGATTGCGAAAAGCTGTTATTCATGGATTAGCCACTCAATCTAGTCTTCTCCTGTATAGTTATTTCACAATCTTCAACTCTTCTTGAATTAACTGTAACCTCAGGCTATAATGAGAGTTATTCAAAACTGTGCACCACTGCGACTTGCAGGAATCTTTTCAAAACATCTGACGTCTGCTCCACATCCCTCCATACATTTGCAGCATTAATTGTCTGCCTATCAGGTAATCAGACCTGGGACACCCTGCTGTGTCAGTTGTCACGTCCTCTCTACATTATATCAAACATACCCCTGCAATGAAATGTTCCGGGCCTGTAGCACACTGTCAAACGCGCCCTGACACTTCCCTTCCATTAGCTTCCCATCTGATGAGCTCATTTCCGCGCCAACACAGTGATCCCAAGCCAAGCCTGGAGACAGACACGCACATGCTCGCTAACACACAGGCCCCGACTTTCAACCGCTGCTTAGGCAACCGTGTGATTCTTCAATTTATCATTTCTGTCAGAGGCGGGAAGTTAAAAGTCCAAAGGCTATCGATTGTTTTCATCTTGACGTGAAAAAATTTTGAGCCGCCGGCAATTAAGAGCTTCCATTGTGGTCAAAGCAGACAGTGGTTGGCTGTGTGTGTGTGTGTGTGTGTGTGTGTGTGTGATGTAGGCGGTTGTAGGGTTGATCTCATCTGCAGATACAAAAAAATGGAACAAGCAATTGAAGGAGGGAGAGGAAATAAACAAGAAGAGGATGTAAAATAATGTGTATCAGCAGAAGGTTAAACGAGAGAAATTTAGCATTTTTATGGGCCTGATGTGTAAAGCGCTGTTTCAGCAAGCCAGAGGAGCACAGACCTTATCAAGACATTGCTTTAGATCACACCCCCCGAGATCTTCAAGTTCAGCACTTTTATGATTGCCTCCACTCATATTCACGCGTGCATGTGTGCGCATGCACCCCCACATAAACACTTCCATATTAACACATTCACTTACACAATCCATAATCACTTTATTAGCCTTGTACCGCCTGTGGAAGTCGGCATTGATTTGATGTCAGTGCATGTCATTTCTATCCTGATGCTTTTAAATCCCCTCCATGCATAGAAGATTAGCATCAACATATTGTTCTCAAATTAATCTGGTAGCAGTATGAAGGCTGTGAGGGGGGAAACAAACTATGTTTGTGTCAGTGTTTAACAAAAGGGACTAGAGGGCAGCTTGAATATTTTGGAGAAGCCTAAAGCAGAGGAGGAGGAGGGGGGGTGTTTGTTCTTGTGATGGCTGCAGCAGTTTTAATGTGAAAAAGACGGAGTCAAGGGAAGGTGAGCAAGTTTCAACATCAACAGCCTCTCTTTAATATTAATGGACTTTGAAGTGTGTTTTCTCTGTAAGGCATTGATGAACTTCTAAAGGTTATAGTGTCTCAGCACTTCTCTGCCAGGCCACATAGTAAGTAGTTCTTTGGATGTTTTGACTTAGTAATCACTATTTTAATGCATCCAAGTTTTTATTGTAAACATCCCAGTTGCATAATGTCTGAATTTCAGTGTAAACTATGAAATAATAACTTCTTTTCCAGTTAGTATCAGATGATTTTTGTGTATTATGATGACTTATATAGTCATACTTAACAATAACCTTTACAGTGAGACAGGCATAAAGAAGAAAATGTATTCTGAAAGCTGTTACAAAACTTCTATATGGCTGTTTGTTTCTTTTTCCTTTTTGAATTTTCTTATTTCAGTTTAAACACAACCCTGAAGTGCAAGCTTGCTTTCAAAACAAACAAACCGCGCAATGTGTTCAGTTCTATGCTGGTAACATTTTAACTATTAAAAACAGAATTGTGAAATCAATTTACTCCAGAGCCATGGCTGTGCTCTGATGGGTCATGATCCTGAGCTATTTTAAAGTGAACAACTTTTATCCAAATGTATCATAAATAAAACACTCCCCCCTCCACTTCAGCCGGCTGGTAGAAATGTTAGCCTCCCTGACATCAGCTCCAAAACAGCTCTGACAAAATCAACAGCTTTAATCCTTGTCGAGCTGCAGACGAACAGAGGAAGTCAGGGATTAAAGGGTTCAGCTCACTCTGTCTCTCAATTTAATTTTTAGGACTGTACTCAGCCATTTTTCATTTATAGTTTTTTTTATTTTTTTTCAGTCAGAGAGGAACATAAATGCCCATCCAGTGATTGTTGATAGTATTTGATACAGTGTTCATGCAAAACATTTGGATAATGGAGTATTTTGCTTAATTCTCTGTTCTCTGTTTTGTCTTTGACAAATGAGGCCCTAATGGGTTTTTAGTTTACGCTGAAGAAATGCAGTTGGCAGACTTGTAAACTCAGAAATTGATGGACTGCATGATGATTGTTACTGTTTGGCATTTTGTTTTGTTTAGTTAACAGTCAACGCTAAATGACATCTTATTTTCCAAGCATGACTCAATAAAATCTGGGACTTCATTCCAGTGTGGTCTTTGAAAATGTATAATTACACATTGTTACATACAACAATGAAAGATCAACAATAAAAGATCCTGCAATAACAAATACGCAAAGTACTCTATGTGAACAGAATAGGCAGAAAAAAAACATGGGGAAATGTTAGTGTGTGCAACCATTTCTTGTCAGTCTTACTATAATTTACCAAATTAATCTTTGTGAATATCTAACGGCTTGTTTCTTCATCTTTCAGCTATTCAGGCAGAGTTGTTGGGAATGGTCTACACGCACAGAGGCAAAACCCAGAAGTCAAAGTTCGCACCCCGAACCCTACACTAGCCGAGGTCAAGGAGAGGTTGGAACGCTTCAACCAGGTAGGCAACCATCGCTCAACCTGAGGACATCTTTTATCACTGATAAATGTGAATATGTGTGCATGTGCTTTTGCACAAATAGACACATAGGTACATATTGTTCATCTCTGTGTTGTAAATGATATAGGGCTAAGGGTACAACTTGTTTTATTCATCCAAACACATAATATCTGAGACACCACTGAATGGTAGAAGGATGCAGAAATAACGGACCATCCCTAGCAGAGGGGATGTTGTTACTTATTGGCTTCATTGTTTGCCTGACTGATTGTTTACGCTTGCCTTGTTTACATTTGATTACAACAGACAGTTATGACATTGAAACCTCACGTGTGGATTGAAACTTTAGTGTTAACTAATGTGAGCCGCTTTCTTTCTACGGTTATATAAGAACAGTTTTATATGGACACAATGAAATGGATCAAGCAATGAATTGAAATGTTACCAACAACCCCCAAAGGCTTCTTTTGTAATTAGTATGCCTCCAACAATATAACACATTTGCAAACAACTTAAATGTCCTTGCCACTTTTCTTCGATACAAGGAGTCGTTTTGGGCACAGAGGCAGATATCAAAGATAGCTGAAAAGAAGAGAGGGTGAAAGGGAGAGAGATACAAACAAAAAAAAAGTGAATAACTGTGGTAAGAAAAAAAAAAGAGAAAGATGAGAGGCGGGAGCAAAAGGTCAGGAATGAGTGACAGATAGGCAGAGATGACACAAGCAGCTTCAAAGTGACACTGTTTGTCATGTAGATGGGGTTTAGAACTGAAAAGGACCAAGAAGAAAAGGGCCATTTCACAAAGTCCCTAGAGGCCATTTGAAGAGACAAATGGACCAGGATTCGGTTCCCCTCTGCCTGCCTGTGCCTTTTGTTACCCTGAAAATTAAGCCCATAGATACTGCACCAGACATATTTCACTTCTGTTATTTCACCTGATTTTCCCTCTTGGTTCCTGATGATTGCTGATGCTCTTCTCTAATTTACCTTTAAAATCTCTCTGTGATTTACATGTATGTCTCTATTTAACAGTTTATACTTACCAGTAACTATTTGCTGCATATCATCTCTGAATCAAGACAGTTGTTTATCATTAGCTGCACACATCTTCTTATCTTTATACCCTTATGTTTTTTTATTTTCTCATCCATAAATGGATTTCCTCCTCATTTCACACGCATCCCAAACATAAATCTCCCGGCCAGACTGTCCACCTGTCTGCCTCTGACAGCTCAAGATCATTCTGTCCGACCACATCCCATTGTGTATGGTCGCTGTCAAGTGCCTCGTTGTCATGGTAACTTTGCAGAGTTTTGCAGGTGTCCTGTTGACATTTACAGGGTTGAAAATGCGTACCTTGAATCTAGACCAGGTGGCAGAGCTTGGCAGAGCTTTGTGTTTGTGCAAGATAAGAGGAAAAGGATCACAGAATGTTAAACTGCATAATGTGGCAGGCTTTGGACGGCAAATCTAGAACTGTTCAACTCAGCTGTGTGCTCTCAACAGCTTTACATAAGTGAATTTTGTTGAAAATGAAATGTTGAAAATGAATCAGACATTATAACATATTTTGCTGAAAGCTATACTCTGAGGAATTTTCAGGTTGTGTCAATTTTGGTGACCCCTGTTGACATACTGCATTCTTCAATGATGTAGTTCTTCAATCCAATGTATTACTCAGTGAAAATTTTTGCTTTAGACAATGTAAAGAAAGGCTGTTAATTGCCTTGCCCGACACCTGCCCTGCAGTAGCAGTTTGTGCATTTAAAAAAAAAAAAAACTATAGAGAAAAAGAAGTCTTAATGCTAATAGTGTCTTTTGCTTTTATAGCTTAAAGGGAGGCATCAGTATTTATTTCAGGCATATTCATAATCATTTAATAACTCATCACAGGATATTTAAAATCTTAAAGCAGGCCTCCACATTTCATTACGGCACCCCCATCAGCACCCCTAAATGTCTTCCTACCTGAGTCTGTTATTTTCTAATGATGTTGGGTTTTAGCTGACTTACTGTTATGTGCCTTTGTCTGTTGTGAGATATTCATTAAAATGATTGTCATTGAGCATTAAAAACATGAAATGACATTGATTAAAGTTCCTTAGTAGAAGCCACAGGAGAAAATCAGAGCAGGGATGTCGCTTGTCTTGTTGTCTACTTTCTGAGAGAACTCATGTCCATGGCTGTCTTTTGGCGCGCAACACAGGCCTCAACAGATGTTTTGAGACAGGTCCATTACATTAGATTCTTCCAGGTGGGCCAATCAGTTCACAAAATAAGTTCCTTTTGAGATTGATTTTGGCAAGCCCATCTGGATCCCTCTCCAAATTACAAACTTCATTGGACACCCTTGGTGTCTTTTAGGCAGTAAAGTTAATTGCTGTTTAATCAGGAGGGAGACGTCCACAGACATGACGCATTAGTGATCCCTACAGTTTACATTTGTTTGTGCATACTCCACAGTTGGGCCATTACTCAGCTCAGTGACTGCACACATGAAATCTTTAATCAGTTGGTAACATGACCTGTACTTTTATGGTAAATAGCACTTTCTGTGATTCTGTGAGGACAAGTGAGAGGATTTCTTGTTGGTTCAGTGAACCACAGAAGCATCCCTTTACTTTTTTAAAGTTAAGAATAATAAAGAAAGGAAAGCCAATGTTTTTAAAGCTTTACAGTTTTACAGAGCTCTACGCTTGTGTCTCGATGTAAAGCTGCATGGCTGCTGTCTTGCATTTTAATGAAATTAAACTAAGAAGTAGATCAAGGGCTGATCCCCCCCGGGTGTTTGGCGAGGTGCTTGCTATTGATCGGCAACGTCTGCAGGAAAAGAGCCAATTATCATTGAGAAGTTGTGAGCTGTTGGGGCTCAGTGGTAAAGTTGGTCGTCTCTCAACTGGAAGGTTTGGGGGTTTGATTCCCAGCTCCTCCGAGTCTTCTTAGGCAAGACACTGAACCCCATATTGCACCTGCTGCACAGCCAGGGGTGAGTGAAAGCCTCTAAAGTAAGTGAATGTGGTGTGAATGGGTGACTGTGACGTGGTTTAAAAATGCTTTGAGTGGTCAGAGGACTATTAAAGAGCTATAACAGTCAAAATTCATTAACCATTGATAACACATTGAGACAAATGTGTTCATTTAGAACAATTCATTATTTGTATTAAGAAGCAAGATAATGTCAGTCTGTCATCTGCACACTGGGTATAAAAACCTGACCTTGACAGTGAGTTAAACAGAGACAAAGACAGAAACATTATGAATAATACATGTGCTGAAAAGTCTTCTTCCATGGACTACATATAATCAAACACATGACTCCTGGTATGATTTCTCTTCTGTGTGTGTGCTGGAAAAAAACACTTTTTGGTTCACATTGAGGACATTTCATAGAAGTAATTCTGTTTAGTGTTAGGATCAGAGTTTTGTGAGGTGTTGAAAGTACAATCAGGTGTGTGTGTGTTTGTCTCATTTAATCCTCGGAATTAGTTTTTTGATATTAGTCTTACTTCGAAATGAAAGGAAAACTCACAGTGGACTGATTCTAAATAGCATTCATATGATCTTTTTTTTTTTAAATTAAAAAGGCATTACAGGTATTCCAACGAATCCTTAATCTGATCTTTTTCAAAATTTGAATAACCTCCATTTCCGGGATTAGTGGGGTTATGATGTGTATATTTTTACCTACCGAGAGTAGACTCGGAACGCTGTCACACTAAGAGGATTGGGAAACTGCTGCTGATGTATCATAGACTCTGACCTCCTCCTTTCTCCAGTGTTGTCATGCAAACAAACCTGCATGCAAAGCACACACGCAGCACAGTACTGATTGACACAGAAAAGTCACATTTGCGATGTGAAATCAAATACTGTAGAGCTTAAAATAACAGAAACAGACATAGGACATGCCCTTATCTCCAGACATGCTATAACATGTTCGATTAAATGTGTAGGCAAAGTTACAGTCCTCCCTTGTCTGTCTCCTCTGACTACCCTTTTCCTCACACTCTTCCTCTTCTGCCTGTAAATATTGCTAATGTGGACAATAAATGTTTCAAAGTGGAATTTTGAGTCCCGGCCATCAGTCCAGCTGTTTTGGGTGGGGATCTCTTATACAATAGTCTATCTGTTTCCATGCGAGGAGCAGGCCAGATCATTTGTCAGTTTGTCAATTTTCACTTTGGTGAATACAAAGTCGGTGGCTACACGCTGTGCTGAGCGGAGAAAAAAAAAAAAGCACCAAGGCAATCACTCTCATGATTCAGATCCCTTGTTTTTCTTTGGCACACACACACAAACAGAGACAGCATCATTACAAATAGTGAAATGTGTTGTTGATAGAGAGCTGAATAGAGCAAAGAAAAAAAAAAAGTTCTGCTACAGAGAGAGCAGTTTTATGAGTGATTGATAGGACTGACTGCTTCTTTGCTGTTTGGTTTGGCCAGTGTCCGAGCCAGGTTCCACATCAGAGAGCACTTAGTTGTTTCAAACACACACGTATACAAACACACACAGCACATTTCCTATGTTGATCCAGTTGACCCATCAGCTGCTGATGGGACTTCAGTTGTTGTATTGTTAGTGAGACAAGTTTGTTGATGATAATAAAAAGGAAAAACAATTAAGAAATTCAACCGTTTTAGCCGACCTCATAAAAGGTAGAGACGACAGCCACAGATTGGTTCGTGACTTCAGCATGATTTCACTGTATATTTATCTTTTATGTTTTGAGCAGTGCCTGCAGCAGTCAGACAGGGTTTGGGCTTTATAGAGGTAGTGCAGTCCAGGGATGAAGAGAGAGCGCAGGCTGAACTGGCAGCCCGTCACAGGGAAGGGACAGATTTTTCCACTTGAAGAAGATGACGGAGCTGGCCTTCACAGGAGCTTTGCTGCTGCTGCAATGGCATTGCAACAAGTCTCACTGCTCACTGTAAGGTGATCAATTAAACTTCATGGACCACAGACTCTGATTTAGGCACACGCGTTTTTACCAACATAGT